CTAGCCGTCCCTAATTTAGCAGTGTAAGACTAGAGGGAAGGCAGCTAATCATCACCACCCACCGCCAACTCTTGGGCTACTCTTTTACCAACGAATAGTGGGATTGACCATCACATTATAACCCGGCTGAAAGGGCGAGCATGTTTGGTGTGACAGGGATTCGAACCCGCGACCCTCAGATTGCGAGTCGAGTGCCTTAACCACCTGGCCATGCCGGGCCAGGCAGTTAGTTAACAGCACCCACGGTCCAAAATTACGGAGCGTGTTTGTATGACTAGGGACGCAAAGTACGAACACGCGCATTCAGAGTCCAGGCATGCTAACCACTAGGCCGCATCCAGCCCATGCATCGGTAATTACCATTTGTGATATATGATCTTAAGAAATTATGCTTTTTAGCCTACATTTCAGGCACCAAAATATAAACATAAAATTATTTTGTTGATGAATAAAAATGGTTCTTTATCTGTTTGCTGCATTTCGAGCATAGCTGTTTGAGGGTTATCTGCGTTAACTATTCATAATTTATAAGTGATGGACTGGAGAGAAGGCAGCTAGTCAACGCCACCCACTGCCACCTCTTGGGCTACTCTTTTATCAACGAAAACTGGGATTGAACGTCATTTTATAAAGCTCCCATACCTGAAAGGCCAAGCATATTTAGTGAAAGGATTCGAACTCGCAGTTTGAGAGTCAAACGCTCTAACCACCGGGCCAAATTCTTATGAGCAACAACAAAAAGAAACGTTTTTGTCAAAATGTATTTACATTGATTTGTAATCACAAGCGTTTCTTAAAACATGGAATTATTTTTCGTTATTCTGTGTCTAGTAAATTATTTTTAATGTACTATATAAAGACGAAAAGCCGTCTGTCACGCCGATATTTCGGCCGTTACCGATCGACACGCAACTTACATGAAATGACGGCGATTTCTGTCTCAACAAGCAAGTTTCTGTTTTTAAACTTCTTCTCATATATATAAAACGGACGAAGCGCTACTTTGGGCATATACTTAGATTTGAGGGTAGGTTGGTAGAGACCGTGATAATAAAATCGAATCGGGTATAAGCGATGACCAAAGGAGATGACCAAACATACATGAAAATTATTATTTTCTTGAAATACTATAAACAGGATAGCCATTCTCCATACATATATATATATTGTTACTAGATCATAATTAATTATTATAAAACATGTTTTATTTATATATAATTTTGAGAAGAAACATTAATTATTATTTCCCATCATGTAACGGACATTCAGCTTGTTTATACCAAAATGAAATTTAAAAATCTAGTGACAAGAAAAATTTCTTCTGAAACTTAATCAATTTTTCTACTTTTCTTGATTAGGAAAGATTTTGTATTTTAAAATGTTCTTGCGCTTGTGACTTTAAGACGGATATGATTGTTTTATATCATAGAGTACTGTATACGAATTACATATATGTACATACTTTATTTTTCCTTAACTTTCGTTTAAATTGATTTATTTATTTTACTATCTTTTGCAAGAAAATAGGACAGGAAAACCTACTTCGAGGTGATTAAAGTACACTTCAATCTGTTCATCCTTGAAAATGCATTTTCTGACTTTGATTAGTTACATAGTGCCTTATTTTTTGGCGCTCTGCTTTTCGTCTGCTTTAACAATGTATATTCAAGGGAAGATGTTGGGCCACTATTGATTATGTATGATTGGGGATCATAATCCTTTTTTTTATCTTATTCTTTATTTTATTTTGTTTACTTTTTGTATCTTGTATTTTATTCCTTTACTATTTTTATTCTGAAACACTTTGGATTGTGTATTTTTCTCAGATTACATCACTGTGCCACTACCTTCTCATAAATGGCTGTAGACGTAAGACATATAATTAGATCCAAGACATTATGGGTACAAACGCCTATTAATTTAAATTTTGTTCATCTGTTGTTGTACAGAAGGTTCTCACCCGCGTTGGTGTATAATTGAAGAGACGGACGTACTTTAATGCTATTGGGATACATTTGTGACTTTAAAGTTTAATTTGTTTGTTTGTTACATTTATCATTTTTTCTGTCTGTATATTTTGTCTTTGCATATTTCGTCTAAATTTTAGGATATATAAGCAGTGTATAAAGGGTAACTTTTAAAACAAATATTCCCATAAACTTTATTGATAAATGCTTATCATCACAATCAAACTTATTTCAATCATCAAATTGTACAAAAATTCATTATTTTACATATCTCACCTTCCACAAAGAAGAATCTGAGGATATGTGGTAACCATTTTGATCACCAGAGCTCCGATGCAAATGAGAACAACAGGATCTTTGCCTCCATATCCTTGCATAATGTCTGGTGGTACTCTGGTTCCGAAGGTTAAATAACCAAAGGAACCGGCCATACAGTAGATGAAAAAAAGAATGATCATGGATAAACACGTTGCTTTGGTGAATTCCCGTAAATTTCGATTCCTCATGCAGCTGTATACCGGAACAACGATTTCATGTGTCTGACAACAGAAGTGTTTGATAGAAATGTATGTATATATATATATATATATATTTTGATTATCTATAAACTACCTCCAATATCCTGTAATATATATTTCAATTGTTACTGAATAGTAAAAAAAAACGTCTAACAAAATACGTGTTTTGAAGTTCTTTTTGAAAAAACACACACCACTATGAACAATGAATACAAGTATAACAGTAAGAAAAATTGTATAACAGGAAATCATGTTGGACTGCCAAAGAAATTAAGTGGATAATTTAAATGACAAATATTAAAATACTCATACAATATGTATATATTATTCGGAGATTTTCAATTGACGATGAAAAACTTCATTGATAAAAAAGTAACACACTTTTGGTGTTACTTGTTACAGTAAAACTAAGTACTGGGTTGGTTATAATAAATGGCAAATATATAATTCAAAGTTGTTGTATAAGAGTAATAATTACAGATACTAAATATTCAACATAACCTATGTTTATTATGAGTTTTTGGATTCATTGTCATAGTTTTAATGAAGTCAAAAACTTGCATGTGACATAAACTTTAACGAGGTGTGAAGAAATAGATTATTGAGTTAATCGTTTTAGCTTATTATAATTAAATAACTGTACAAGTGAAAAAATATACAGAAAATGTTACCGATATTGGAAGAATTATCAGTGAAACAACAACAGAAGACGAATTAAATTAATAAATAAATTTCTAAACATACTAGTTACTAATAAAAAGTTCTGTAAAATTATCAATTTCTATTGTATTGAAATTTGAATATATACCTTCACCAATGACGTTATAATTTGTTTAGTTCTTCATAAGTAAGCTTAGAGATGTTTCCTAGAAATGTTAAAGTATTCGTTTCAGACTTCCGCAAGAACTGCACAAAGGATATCTACGCATTACCGTTCCTAATTTTAAATTGTAGGTAGATGGAAGACACCCACTGCCTACTCTTGTTTAAATGCTAGTGCCAAAGGATCCGGGCATGCTAGGTCCTAGGATCAACTGATTACATAAATCAAATGGGCACAGATTGTCGTTCGGCATTGTGGCTTTGAACTTGTTATACAACTATAATTTAATCATCCAGTGTAGTCTAGAAGGAACTGGGTTTTTAAACTGTGTTCAACATCCTTTAAGAAAGGGGTTTTGATTGGACTGGATTCTGGAAGAGATGACGTCCACAGAAAGTTTTAAAGTGTATAAATATAAGTTGCGGAACGAGTTTTATTTTATTTTTTCTGTGGACCTTTGATTGATATAGTTCTCATAAGAGTTGCAAAAATCACGCCTCGATTTTGATTGTGTTGTGCAAGCACGGTTTCACTCAGTAATATCCAATCAGAAGCTGTGTAGTACATCAGTCTTTTTGTTAACACAAAAAAATCATAAAGCTTTAATATTTCATAAACTTTATTAGGCCTCGTATGTATTATACATGTAATGTATATATTTAAATGGCTAATGCAAGAAGCGGGCTGACAGCTAACAAAAGGAAACATTAAACATACTTCGTGTGAATTGAAACAAACCCTTCAGCTTTGAAATGTTAACAATCCTGTGAGCATTCTGCTTTGAAATATTACTTTAATTCAACATAAAATGTTAAAGAAACTTATTATACTAAACTTTTTTTCCTGCGATAAAATGTAGGACCGTACCCATTCGCAAGGTACACTAAATATAAGTATATGTTCTACAAAAAATCCATCATAAGCTTGACATAATGAACATTATAAAACTGTTCTCTATATGTCATTCAGGTTCGAATTAGACATGGTTTACCATGTGTATAATATGTTAGTAACACTGTATTTTTATAGTCATTTGTACTTACATGTTAATAGATAGATTAGTGCTAAGTCAACAAAACAGCCTTTATCCATGCTGATATATGGGTCATAAAAACATGTACTTTATTTATTGTTATTTATTGGACTAGCTTTCTGGTCAAAGTAGACAATATGTCAGGAAGAAGATGTTTACATTCGTATCTGGTTGTTTTTAGTTGGTAATATGACCCAGTACTAAAATTAATTAATAATGTAGCAAATTTGCTGTCTGTGCATATGAAAATAAAAAAAACTGTGGAGTAAAATGAAATTAGTTTAAGCCTTAAAAATGTGTTTAAAATGACTGTTTTGTTAGAAGCTTCTATTATCAACCAGTTAAAATCTATGAATAAAAATATTACATGCAAAATTTATTTCCACCTCACAACTTCATTTGCAAATTTAAGAGACCTACCCTCCAGTGGCACAGCGGCATGTCTGCGGACTTACAACGCTAGAAACCGGGTTTCGATACCCGTGGTGGGCAGAGCACGTATATCTCTTTGTGTAGCTTTTTGCTTAACTACAAACAAACAAACTTAAGAGACCTTTCTAAATACGGACGAGTTGTGATTTACATTAATTTTCATCAGCATTTAACTAACTTTAGTGGTTATAGTCTCTTCACAAAATGTTACCGGAGAACTCACTGCTGAAAATTTCAAACATATAAGATGTTTAGTTATGATTTTAGGGTTAATAGAAAAATGGTTGGTAATGCGTTAACACATCTTAGCTGGGAGTGTACATTGCCCCGAAAAAAAAATGACGCAGAAATAAAACAAACTGATAACACGTGCACACGAAAAAAAAATGTTTAGGGGCGTTTTCTCTAACAATAAATTAAGTCAGCCCTTTTTCGTAAAGGGTTTTGAAAAAATCTTGAAAGATAAAACTCCTTTGAGAATTTCCTTTTAGACTGATAGAATCCATTAAACACTAAATATAGTTTATACAGTTTCTTCATAAAAAAATCTAACGCAAAAAACAACTTACCTGATACGCGAAACTGAATACTGGAATTACGGTGAACACGTCCACTGCAGTTTCAGGACTGGGTTAAAAATTGGAAAAAAAAATCATTTTTTGCAATCAAATAACATAAGAACGTAAAGTATTATGATAGGTGTAGTGTAAAAGAATGTAGTCTTCTTTGTAAAACACCATCGTTATCTAGAGAATTTATGATACTGGTTTAATACAACACAGCTGAGAAGAATGTGTTAAAATATATTAAATCAAATATGCCACAACATAACTTAATAATACCCATAATCATGAATCAAAACCTACAAAAACACTTGTAACGAATTTGCCAAAAATTAGGCAAGACGTTTCTCAATTTTGCAAAACTTGTCATACCTGTCAGTTGGTCGGAAAATCTAACAAGAAAATTCCTGTTGCTCTTCTCAAACCTCTTCTCAAGAAGTCGAAGAACCCTTCAGTCGTGTGATTGTTGATTGTGTTGGGCCTTTACCAAAAACTCGATCGGGGAATCAGTATTTGTTAACTATCATATGTGCATCTACTCGATTCTCTGAAGCTATCCCTTTGAGAAAAATTTCAGCCCCCAAAAATTCTAAGGCTTTGGTCAATCTCTTTACTTTTGTTGGCTTGCCCAAAGAAATTCAGTCTGATCAGGGATCAAATTTTATGTCAGGGTTGTTTCAACAAGTTGTTTATCGGCCTGATGCTAAACAGATCAAATCTAGTTGCGTATCATCCAGAATATCAAGGAGCTCTTGAGAGATTCCATTCTTCCTTGAAAAATATAATTCAGACTTACTGTCTCGATAACGAGAAGGATTGGGACGAAGGAGTTAATTTATTATTATTTGCTGTTCGTGAGTCAGTTCAGGAGTCGTTAGGGTGTAGCCCGTTTGAGTTGGTGTTTGGCCATTCAGTGCGTGGTCCTTTGAAGTTTCTGAAGGAACAATGGTTGGAAGATGATCCAAAAGAAATGCACTTATTGGCTTACGTATCCAAGTTTCGGTCCACACTCCTACGTGCTTGTGAATTGGCTCGAGAAAATTTGAAGTCATCCCAAATTAAAATGAAAAATGTTTATGACCGTAAGGCTGAAGAGCGTAAGTTACATTCTGGTGGCATGGTCTTGGTATTGTTACCCTCTATGGAACATTCACTCAAAGCTAGGTATCATGGTCCCTATGAGGTTATTCGGAAAGTCAATGATACGGACTATGTTGTAAAAACACGTGATCGTCGAATGGCTACCCAGCTGTGTCATACCAGTATGTTGAAGCCCTATCACATACGAGATGCATCCGAAAATATTTTATCCGTTGAGTGTTCTCCTTATACTGATGGCAGTTGTTTTGACTCAGACACCCATAAATTTGAAAATATTTAGACGAATGCTACATCAAACTGAGTAATTCTGACATTCTGGCCAATCTTGATTCAAAACTCGACCACTTGCCCCCTGAAGAGAAAAATCAACTTACTAGTTTATTGAATGAATACGAATGTATATTGCCAGATGTTGCTACTCAAACCAACATCGCTGTGCATGATGTAGATATAGGTGATGCTTCTCCTGTAAAACAACATCCATATCGGGGTAATCCAATCAAGGCCGATAAAATGCGTAAATAAATATATTACATGCTGGAAAACGGCATTACAGAGCCCAGTAAAAGTGACTGGTCTTCACATCGTGTACTGGTTCTTAAATCTGATGGCTCGGTTAGATTCTGTACAGACTTTCGCAAAGTAAATGCTTGACAAAGACAGATTCCTACCCCATCCCAAGAATGGAAGATTGTATTGATAATATTGGAAAAGCTATATATATATATATCACAAGGTGTGACCTACTAAAGGGATAGTGGGCTGTTCCTATAACTGACAGAGCAAAAGAAATCTCTGCTTTTGTTACTCGTGATTGGTAAACCAGTACAATGTAATGCCTTTTGGGATGAAAAATTCTCAAGCAACTTTTCAGCGAATGATGAATCAATGCCTGAACAATCTGTCAGATGTTGGAATTTATGTTGATGATATTGTAATTTCCAGTGACACATGGGACGAACATTTATATGTATTACGTGATGTTTTTGAGAGGCTTAAGAAAGCTAATCTCATTGTAAATCTGGCAAAAAGTGACTTTTGAAAAGCCAGAGTTGTTTATTTAGGTCATGTAGTAGGTCATGGTCAAGTTTCTCCAATTCAAGCCAAAGTTGATTGTATTGTGAATTATCCAACTCCTACCAACAAGAAAAGTTTGATGAGATTTTTGGGAATGGCTGGTTATTACAGGAAGTTTTGTACAAATTTTGCTGACATCACTGTACCATTAACACACATTTTGAAGAAAAATAAAAAATCAAATGGTCTGAAACATGTCAATCTGCTTTTTAATAGGTCAAGTCTTTGTTATGCTCTTACCCTGTATTGATGGCACCTAGCTTTGATAAACCTTTCGCATTGGCTGTTGATGCCAGCGATTGTGGCGCTGGTGCTATTCTATTACAATCAGACGACAAGGTACTGAACACCATGTTTGTT